GGGTGGTCACCACCACATGAGGAACTGTCTGAAAGGGTCTTGGCATGAGGAAGGTTGAGAACCACTGTGCTAAAGGGATGGAGTCGGGCTGGTACTTTGAAACACTGGATAACCAGCCAGCAGGGTGTGGGCACCACCAGGCCAGGTGAGCGAGGACATGGGAATGGCATGGAGGTCCCCCCTGGACAGCGGCCCTGTGACTGCTGAGCCACAAGAGGTCAGAGGTGGAGGAGAAACGTGAGGGTGGGGAGCTCCTGAGTGCATCAGGACAGCAGCTCTCCACCAGCCTCTGTGGGAGAATTTCCAGGGCCCTGGCGGCTCCTAGATAGAACACTCCCGCCTTCTCTGCTGGAGAGCTGCATTCCTGGCCCTCGGACTGCAGCTCAGGTGCAGCCAATGCTCTGTACCTGGAGGTTGGGCTGTTGCTATGATGTCCCAGCAGAGCTTTGGGTCTCAGATGGACCAGGAAGAAAGACCTAGCAATCTACCCCCCAAAGTCAGTCAACAAAATCCCCCTGGGCCCCCAGCCAATCCCCAGCTGGTCAGGGGCACGGTGTGGGTGCAGGTGGAGCTGTGTTCAGCTGTGCTGGGTTTGCCAGGCATAAGGGGCCGACCAGACCACAGCTCAGAAGAACATATTAATATTTTGGCCTGGGTGTGGGCTGAACGTCAGACTCGATCCAGCGACACAGACGTCCCCAGTGTTACTGAGACCACTTGGCTCAGATAGGGGTCCCAGGAGCCTGCCACTTTTATTGGGATCGTCTCCCACTAAGCAATGAGCGCAGAACCTAGCTATCACCCTAGAGATGGGAGAAAGTCCTGCACCTGTCCCCCAGCCTCCTGCTGTGGACGCTCCCGCGTTGCTGCAGCCTCTGCTCTGTCCTGTGACCACACCTCTGCTCCCTGAGCCCAGCGAATCCACCACACCGTCTTCCCTCATCTCCGTCTGCCCCCTTCTGCCCAAAGACGACCCAACAGAGTGTGGTTACCTGTCCCCAGGTGTGGGCCACTTTTCTCATGCAACGGGTGTGTGCACCCGCCTGAGGGGTGTCACAGGACCTGCTGCACTTCCAGGGGGCAAGGGGGCCTCGGCTCCCCAGAGATCCTGAGCTGGGGCTCCATCTGTGGCGTGAACTATGACAAACAGCCTCCCCTGGGACGAATGAACGAGCACTTGGAGTTGGTGGGAAGGCTAGCTCAGGAAGGAGCCTTTCAACCAAGGGAGGAAGAGTAAGCAGGGTGGAGGGCTAGCCATCAAGCCTGTCACACCTGCCGCCAGGTGTTAGAATGTCATCCCTACCGCTCCCGCCCGCCTATCTCCAGACTCCTCGGGCCGGCACAGCCTCCCCCACCAGCTCCCCCGGAGCCCCCAGTGTCCTTCCTGCCAGCAACTCCACACGGCTGCCCTGGTTTGGGGGGCACCTCAGTTGTCATCTATAGACTGGCTTGTGGTCTCCACCTGGAGAGGAAAGGCCGGACTGTGCGTCCCCCTCGGGGGTCCTCGCCCACCTCCTCCCTCCTCCGTGGGCTCCGCGGTGCCGGCCAGCGGCTCCTCTACCTTCCCTTTTGTGCAGAGCTTGTCATGTCCCCACACCCACTCCTTCCCCCCAGGGGGCTCCACACAGGCGTCTCAACTCTCTGACCATCTCGGCTGTCTCATCCGTTCCTTCTTTCTCCCCCCACCCTTCTTTCTAAGGACAGAGGTCCCCAAGGGAAATGAAAACCAAGGCGAAACAAAACACTGCGTAGCCCAGTTCTACGCTGCCCATGAGCCAGAATCACGGCAACTAGCCACATTAGTATCTGTCTCCCTCCCCTGAGTTAAGCTATCGAGGGAAGACGAGGCTGTCTGTCTACTCCCGTGAAGACTTAGCTTCGGAAACCCACTGGCACAGTTCTGCCCTGTCCTGCAGAGTCTCTGCGTGTCGCGTGGGCTAAGCTGTAAGGAGCCCTGTCAGGTGGCCCAATGGTGCAAAGTCTGGCTACTAGCCGAGAGGTGGGTGCTTGTAGGCACCGGTCTGTTCTGTGAAGACTTACTGCCTTGGAAACCCTATGGGGCAGGTCCACGCTTTCCTATAGGGAAGCTGTGAGTTCCAATTAATTTGATGGCGGCAGTGGGTTTGGGTTTTGTTGTTTTTCTAGTCAGACTTTGTGTGTGTGTGGTTGTTGCCAGAAAGGAGAGTTGGCTCGCCACTTGAATAGTGTGTGTGTGTGTGTGTGTGTGTGTGTGTGTGTGTGTGTGTGTTAATGCCTTTGGTGTAGAAACCCCCACCATGGAATCAGTGCCAACTCAGCCACCCTCTCTGGGTTCAACGGGAGCAAACAGTCTCATCTTTGGTCCCCAGAGGGGGCTGGTGCGCTGGAACTGCTGACCTCTCGGTACGCGGTACGGAAGGTGCTGAGGTTGAAAAAAACGGTCTCTTGCAGTTCAACTTTGGAGACGTCTTTGTCCACCAGGCCATCCACACCATCGAGTACTGCCTGGGCTGCATCTCCAACACGGCCTCCTACCTGCGCCTCTGGGCCCTGAGCCTGGCCCACGCCCGTGAGTGGGGCCCCGGGGGACACTGCGCAGGGGGAGCTGCGGCTCAGGGTTGTTCCTGGCAACTGCAGAGGAGACTGGGTCTCGGTCCGTCTCTACGCCAGTAGGGGAAATGTTCTCTCTGTCAGTCGTGGGTGGCCGCCAGGACAAATGACCCGAAACTTGGTGACTTCAGAGAATGCACACGTGTGGTCTTAGCATGCCTTTCCCAGAGACCTCTGCATGTCCTAGGCCCCTAGCCTAAGCCCGGAGCCCCTTACGCAGCCTTCTTGGGCCCTCGGGGCAGTCTGTGGAGCAGCGCAGCCGGCCGGAGCTGAGTGTGTTCTCGGGCCTTCCAGAGCTCTCCGAGGTGCTGTGGACCATGGTGATGAACATCGGCTTGCGCCAGCGCGGCTGGGGCGGGCTCGTCGGAGTCTTCATCATCTTCGCCGTGTTTGCTGTCCTGACAGTGGCCATCCTGCTTGTCATGGAGGGCCTGTCCGCGTTCCTGCACGCCCTGCGGCTCCACTGGTGAGGGGCCGTGCGACGGGGGATGGAGGGGGCTGCGGGGGTACGCCCTGTGGCTCCGCTGGCCATGCTGGGGGGCGGGAGGGCATCGCGGGGCTGAGGCTGGGCTCTGCGAGGAGGGCTGCACTGCAGAAGAGACAGAGCAAGTAGGAGTTACTTCTCTTTGGGGTGGTCTTGGCTTGATCGCTGGTGGGTGGGATTCTAAGTGACGTCAACACATTGGCGGAACCATCGCATGAGCTTCTTGCTCCATCTTTCCATGGGGCTCGTGTGAAGCTCCCGCCCCCCACCCCACGTGTCCACCCAGGGCTTGTGGTCGCCCAGGAATGGGCATCCATCTCTGTTCCGTGAAAAACGCTGACTCATCATCGTAGCTCCTTCCTGAGGGGGTGGGGGTGTCGTCAGTAGCTGCCATGAGTCCGTCTGACACCTGGAGGTCCCAGGAGTGTGTGGCCCCAGGACCACACCGTAGGGTTTTCCAGACTGACCTTTCAGAAGGAGCTCATCAGGCCTTGCTTCTAAGTCTCTTCCAGGTGGTTCGAACCCCCATCATTGGTCTAGTAGGTGAGCGCTTAACAGGCTCGCACCACCGGGAGTGTGCCGGCAGGGTGGCAGGTCTGAAGGAGGCCACCAGGTGGGAGCTGAGTGCAGGAGTTACCTGGATAGACAAAGGTGCTGGTCTCCAGTAGGCAGAAACCAGGAGGGCTCTGGGAATGTGGCCTGGGGGCCATGGCTGACCCCCTCTGGCTACACCGGGAAGGAGGAGCATGTGTCTCCACAGCAGCCCAAGGCCACAGGCCGAGGCCAGCTGTCCCTGCAGCCTCCCTCTCACTGTCCCGCTTCTCACACCAGCTCACCTGGACGCCTCTGCGGGATGAGTTCTGCAGCAGCTGTGCAGGGGTCATGGAGAATACTCCTGATCAAAGGGGCTCCTGGGGGAGGTGAGCAGGTGACGCGGAGCCAAGATCAGAAAGCATGATGGATAGTCTTTGGTCCACAGCCCCGTTTCTCCTCAGTCAGCAGCTAAGTCTTGCTCTAGACTCCTCAGCCGGGCGGCCCCCCGCCCATGCGCTGCGCTGCCTCACACTGCTGCTCGGCCTCACGGTCTCCTCGCCTCTGCTGTAGGTCAGGGTTCCTGTGGTGGGGCCTCTGCTGCCTGCATGGGGCATGGAGGGATTTCATGCAAGCTCCGCTGGTGCCTCTTCTTCCTTGATGGTCATGGTCATGGGAACCCCCTCTTCCTGCTTCTGAGGTGCCACCTCCTTTGAGTATGGCCCAACTGTCCGATCGACCACGAGTTAGAATCCTCTACACCTAACTGGCATGCCCTTGCACTTAGTCATGTCATAGGCGTTCTAGAGAAATGGATAGAAGAGCCATATTAAGAGATTTCATTTTGCCGCTCGTTGGGCAGGGGCGGTGGTGGGGCAGGACCTTCACAGTGGGTGCTCTGCAGACACGCAGTGGCCGTCACCATCCTGAAGGGTAGGAGAGAATCCTGCCCTGAGACTTTGAGTGCCGCTTCTCTGCAGCCCACGGTGACTGCTTGCCTTACAGAAAGGATGCTGTGCTCCCCAGACTGAGTTTGGGAGCGTCTCGGTATGGCCCGCCTCCCCCGTCCCCCTTTCTTCTGTCATTAGGGAAATCCACTGAGTAAAGCATGCACCCAGGCTGTGCAAGATCTCTGAGGGTCTGAGCCCAAAGGTCAGAACAGGAGGGGAAAGGAGCGGGTCTCCCTCGGAAGAGCACGCCCCTCCCTCGGGCCACCCACAGCTGCCAGTGGGTAGGGAGGGGGCTGTGCGCACACACGAGGGTCCTGGCTGTTCTAGGGGGCAGGGGTGGTTCTGCTGTGGTCCAAGAGGCCAGAGTAGAAGGCGGGTGGGAGGCAGTGACATCAAACCACGGTTGTGATGCCCACCCGTCGCTCTCCCAGCATGACCGTGCAGAACGGCCCCTGGGGTTTCCCAGGCTCTGTCTTTACTGAAGCTGGCAGCCAGGCCTTTGTTCCTGCAGAAGGGCTGGTGGGTTCTCACCTCTGACCTTTCAGTTAGCTGAAGAGTGCTCTAACCACGATGCCCCCCAGGGCTCCTGGAGTTCAAGCCAGTCTAGCTCCATCTCGGCTCCCATCCGGTCACTGCGGCCATTCCTCTCACCCATGCCCCAGCCCGGCCAGCATGCCCTGGTCACGTCTCCATTCTCAGGTCAGATGATCTGTTGGGATGGCAAACACCCCCCCACACACACACACACACTTTAATCTAAAAAGGGAAAGGGCAGGAAGTCCAGGGTGGCTTCTGTCCCTACGGGCTCTCTCTCCCCATATGTTAGTTAGTCTGGGTAAGCTAGGGGAACAAATCCACAGAAACTCATATGTATAAGAGAGAGTTTTATATAAAGGGTAAGCGCACATCAAGAAACCATCCCAACCCAGTGCTGCCCAAGCCCTAAGTCCAACATTAGCCCATATGTCTGACATCAATCCACAAAGTCCTCCATCTCACAAAACACACGCAGTGATGCCGACTGCAGGAGGAAATCAGTGAGCGTGTAAGCAACTCAGCGCTGGCAGGGGTCTCCACGAGGCTGCTCCAACACCCAGGGATGCATCAGGGTAGGTCCATGCAGCTGCTCCAATACCCAGGGATGCATCAGGGTAGGTCCATGTGGCTTCTTCTTGGGGATGTCTCACAGGAAGTAAGCCTTGCCAGCTGAAGCAGGGAACTGGCTAAGGCAGCTGCACCCTGGTCCGACCATCACAAAGCAAGAGACC